CACTACTCCTTAACATCAGGACTGTTCCTCGCATGGTGGGCGGCATCGTTATCCGAAGCCCTACGCCCCAAATAAGGAACCCGCAGCCCTACCAGATCAGTCCAGACACCAGGTCTTCCTGGAGCAACTCGTGGCCAAGGATGGGCGGTCGATGTCCAGCAGCATTGGGTTTAGAGTGCACAATGTTGGATATTTTCGTGAGGAGGACAACTTTTCTGCAGGCGCAGTAGGTGTGCACAATGTCACAGACAATCCTTGTTGCGGACAGGGCATCTCTTAATCGCGTCTTGCTTACTCGACCCAGTCGCAACCGGACACATTACAATCCTATGGCTTTCTCGCAGGATGAGGCCGTGGACATTCTCAAATGTGTCAACTTGTCCTTGGAATCCTTGCTGGATGATGCCGGCCCACTGCACTTCGAACGGGTGCTCAAAAGCGTGCTCACTGCGACCTAGCAGCACTTTGTGTAGGCTGTCATGCAAGGCAAAGCTGCAGGACAGCAGTCTAGCCGTGGTGGGTCACCTGTATGTGACCAGATTCACAAATCCATGCATGGTATGGACATCCCGAGACCGTGCATGAAGCTCCCGAATCACTCCACCCCTGCAGGGAGGCTTTGTTTGCGACCCCGACAAGTTTACCAGTGTCTTCTCCAACCCCGAGCAACGCAAACCCACGTTATTCCTAGCGTTGCCCGGCTCTGGATGCAGAGATCAGCCCTGAACCCAAACAATGTGCAAACTCTAAATCCTGAACCCATAAACCCTAACAACCGAGGAGTGCTTCTGGTACATCAAGTATCCCCCGACAAAGGAGGCTGCAGAGCACGTGAAGGAATCACGGGGCTCGAATGATGCAGATAATATAGGTAAAGTTCCAAGAAAGACAGAAACCTAAACTTTTGGGTGGGATAGCCCTACCTCATTGCTTTGTTTATACAGGGATTATGGGATATCCCAACCTTCTGTTTTTTGTTTAGGTACCTGTTTGTGTCCCTAATAGGGGCCATAATACAACGACCTATACTATTATGGGGTTCCTTATTATAGTTATAATATAATATGCCCCAACGCCCTGTTCTAACTGTTAAATCCCCTACATTAGCTGGATCGTGGATCTGTCGCAGCGAACTGGCGGCTTCCTGTAAAGGATCAGAAATCCCCAAGAAAGGTGCTTGGAAACCTGTGCGGCGCAAATCCTGCGTTCTGCTTGAAGTGACAAACATAGCTCTAACAAGGATGACCCTCAATGCACAGGTCTCGGCCCGTGACCTTAAACAGGATGTACCTGTCCCCTGAACTTTTTACCCCAAACCCAACACCCTCGAAGCCTAAATGTGATATGCCCTGAAGGTTGCAAAAACGTCACTGAAGATGACAGGGCCAAACAGCTAGAACCCGAATCTGTGATCTACTTGGTCCCTTGTAAAAAGCCTGGGCGTGCCAGATCCTGAGAGTGCAATCTTGCATCCATGGAGCGTGAAGTTTGGTTACTTTCGCCTGCGTATATATATATATATATATATATATATATATGTTTATATGTTTATATGTATATGTATTTATGTACTCAAATTTGCCACCGATCTCCTCAGAGGAAGTGAGCGAACTCATCTTGGGAGATCCGGGGCTGCTTGCCACCCAGCTGCAAGGAGATCTGGATAAGATTTCATTATATGGGCTAGGGTTTAATTAGGGTTTTAGGGGTTTACGCTTTAGTGCAAGAATAAGAAGAGACAGGGGATTTCATGTGGGTGTATACATGGGGTGGTTGTCAAAATTAGGGTCCCTCCTTATTGTAGGACGGCACCTAATATGTAGGGTTCCCCAAAAAGGGCCATAATTTGGACAACCACCCACATATTGTGCATCCAACTATGTCCAAACGGGTAGCTAGATGGGTAGGCAGGTATTCATGCATGTGTGCGCGTGCGCATCATCTTTTATTTGCCTGTCTCCCAGGCTTTGATGCCGCCTTTAGCTCCTTTCTGCTTACTCTTGCTAACTCGTCTGTCTGTTGTTAGTTTACCATGCGGTCGAGGGAGAGGAGCTGCGCTGAAGGAAGCCTGATTTCTTGCCAGAGATGTGGAGCAAGGATTTTGGATCGTGTTTTTTCTGTCAGGCCTTCCGGTATCAAGGCTGTTGTCTGCTGCTTGCTTGTTGTTCGTGCTTCTTGGCTTTCGGGGCCCAGGGCTTCTGTAGTTTTAGGCTGTGGTGGGTGGGGATCTGTTTTCACGGTTTTTTTCAACCCCACCCCAAAGCAAATTCGCAGAGCAGAGCCCTGGAAACCTGCAGGTTTCAACCCTAACATTAAGGCGTCAATAATTGCTGCAGGGTTTCCGGGCCACTATAGGATAATTACAATAGGGAACCCCAAAAAATAGTATAGGTAATTACTTGGGCCCCTATAGTATACCCTCATCCACGACACCCCACAGACCCTGAAGTCAAGGCACTTCTGAAAGCGACTTGCCTGGAGGGCATGCGCACGCGATGGTCCCGGCGCGGGAAGCTGTGGTGGCACAAGGCCCCTGATCCAGGAATGAGCTCATTATTACTACTGCAAGGGTTTGGGTATAAGGTTTAGGGTTTTACTATTGGGTTATTATTACTACTGTTAGGGCTTGGGGCCTAGGCCCAGTTGGAGTCTAGGGCTGTGCTTCAGGTTGAGGATGTACTCATTTCGGAAGTTTGCAGCCGTAATTTTGAGGATGCACGATTCAGCGTTTACATCTTCCCGAAACGGTTTTGTCAAAGCATTAGGTTGCTGCGGCCGCAGGCACGCGGCAGGCATGCACACCCGTTCCGCCGCTCCCACTGCGCATTTTTGACCGGAATCTTCCCACCAGAGTCCCACACCGGCCGTGCCCACCGGAGAAGTTGAATTCAACGGTCGTAGACAAACATGTTTCAACACTTGGCAGGGTCACACTAACAAAGGGCCTCAATAATTACCTATACTATTTTTGGAGTTCCTTATCATATTTATAGTATAGTAGGTCCCCAAAACCCCAATTCTAATAATTATTGAGGCCCCTAAACTATTTGGCTCTTTGGGGCTCGTCAAAGTGATCGACAAATCCCCCCCGTGATGGAACATTTCAAGATTCGCAATCGTGCTCCCGCCACGGCTGTCATGTAGACCCATCAGATTCATAAGATGCCCTTTCTAAGTCAAAACCCAGCACATGTTTTCCCAAACTCACGCCAATGCTCTGTAAGCCCTTGATTGTGTCCTAAGTCCAAAGACTAGGACCTGGAGTAGGCTCTTATTCCCTTTTTGCAGGGTTCAGGTTCTCTTATAAGCCCCTTTAAACCAAAAAGGGCACCCTTTTTATTCCCAGGTTACTCTTGGGTCTAGAAGATGCTCCTGGGACCCCAGCTTTAGGCCGGGAGCCTTCTTGCTGTCAGGTCATAACGAACATGCAGCTGCTACGAGGCCTGGTGCTGAAATCAAGGGAAGCTTCAAAGCGTAGCGTTGCACATGGTGGTCCAACACCCGACTTTCAAGCTGGCAGGCTGTTTTAGCATAACTCCAACTTAAGCCCATGGGTATATGGGAAGTAAGCACGGCAGAGTTGAGTTAAGAGGTTTTTGCCGGTTGTTTAGAGTTGAGTCGGGTGTTTGATACACAGGATCTTCTCTTCGTCAGGGGAGTTTTTTCATCAGTTTCCCTTCTAGGAGCCCCTGGCCACCAGTAGTGAAAACAACCCGAAACTAATTTTTTCACGTTCACCTTCAATTTTGAATCCGAAGCCGTCGGCCTTACATTCTTACATCCTAAACTCCTGCCCATGATCCTTCAACCATACTGCCGTTGAGCTAGAAAATTCTACCACTCGAAGCCCATGAATGTGAAGTCTGAAACCCCCTAAACCCAGAGCCTCCAAAACCCCTTAATTAGGGAATATACCTTAAATCATATAAGGGATCCTATTATAATTTAAGGTATAGTCCTTCTCTGGGAACCATTCAAGACCCCCAGCGCAGGCCACGCGAGCTTCGCCGATTGCATCGAGGCCTACGTGCGGCACCAAATCCGAAGACCCGCAGCGATGTGGATCCAACAGCTCGAGCAGCTGGGATTTGAGAAACACATGTTTTACATATGCATATATATATATATATGTGTATGTATGTATCTCTGACAATTTATATATATATATATACATATACATATATATATATATATACATATATATGTGTCTTTCTGCCTGTCTGTTTGTCTACCTGTGTATGTTTCTATGTGTCTGTCCATCTTTCTACCTACCTATCAATCGTTGTTAGTAGGTTCGTAGCAGTGGTGGTAGTAGTAGTTGTTGTTTTGGTAGTAGGTAGTAGTAACTGTTGTTTTGGTAGCTGTACTAGATGCAGTAGTAGAAGCAGAAGTAGTAGCAGTAGTAGTGGTAGTAGTAGTAGTAGTAGTAGTAGTTTTAGTTTTTGTTTTTGTGTTTATCAGCATTATGATGCTTATTATGACTTCATATGCCTACACATATACATCCGGTCATACATGTACATATACATATACATACATGTAGATAATCATACGTAGATACGTACAATACAAACTGAGGATGAGCTTGTAGTAGCAACATTGGAACCTCGTGGCAACCATATGATGATGGATTTCTTCCTCTTCTCCGTGCTCCAGCCCGAGTTTGTAGTTTCGGATTCGTCTTCTTTGTGTCAAATGGGTGTTACTTATGTGTGTGCGTGCGTTTGGCTGAAATTCTTCAGGTTTCAGTTTGGGGGTTAATCTCGGGGTGCTGCAAACTTGCAACACATGGCTGCTTTTCAAAAGTCAAGCCAGCCAGCACAGACAAGGCATATGAAAATCAACTCTTGATAATCAGCCCTCATGTTGCTGTTGTTGGCATTTTCCAGTGCTTGTACCACGGGCCCGGAGTTTGATGGGCACGTGTCATCGACTATTCGGCTTGACGGGTCCAAGGCGTAGCCATGCCTCAGGTTGAGAATGCACAGCATCGGCTTAGGATGTATCATCTGGAGGTGTCTCATTCCTGCGTTTTTGTGCAAGTGCTTGTGAGGAACCTCTGCGCACTGAAGACGCTCAAGTTCTACCAGGAAGAGTGCGACTTGCGAAATGCCTGGTTCGAGATCTGTGACCAGGTCGTGTCACTGCAGGGCGTGGCTCCCCCGAAGAACTCCGAGTGCTATTCTTACCGGCAGCATCTGCAATCTCTCCATGTGCCCTTCGCCGCCTACTTCGCAGAGAAGCTAGACGGCTTTCGCGCGATCTTCTTCGAACACCAGCTCCAGAAGATGGATCCAGAGAATCCGGCGCTGAAGGATTTCCGGCTGGCGATGGAGGCGGCCATTCCTGACCAGTGGATGGAGCTCTTGCGGCAGCACCGGCAGGCGTGGCTCTGGTTGCCCAAACCATCTGACAGTACGATTTGTTTTGTACAAGATAAGAGCGTGCTACATGACAGTATCTGAATGACTTTGTCGCTCGATGATGATGCTTTATGATGTTCTGGTGAACTCTAAATACATGCGTGAGAATCTCCGAGCACAAGAGACGTCAGGCGTACGTCAATGACCTGGCAGTGTTGAAGCTGACGGCGGTGCCCCTTCCCCAGAGTGAGCAGCTCCGGATTCTTCAACCCATCTTCCAGGAGCAGTACTATAGAAGCCTAAATAAAAGAACAACACTATTCTGGGGGCTTGTAGAATAATGGGCACCAAGACCCTATTCTAATTATGAAGACCCCTGTTTCAGGGTTTCGGGCTCAGGATTTAGGGCTTCAGGGATTTAGGGACTTAGTGCCTTAGGGGGTGCAAGGTTTAAGGTGTCAGTTGCCCATCTTCCAGGAGCAATCTGCTTTTGAAGACTGGGGGGCCACCTGGGCGGCAGTGGTAGCCTTAGAGGATTAAGGGACTTAGTAAGTAGGGTTACAGGTACTTTAATTGGGGTTATAACTAGATATAACTCTAGTCACCTTACTTATCACCCTACTTGCTAAGTCCCATGATCCTCTAAGTAAGAGAGCGATCCAATTATGTTGGACAGGCCAGAGAAGCAACTGTAAGATTCGCATTCAGGGTTTAGGGCTGAAGGTTTAGGGTTTGTGGCCGCACATAATACAAACGCGACATGAAGTGGCTCTTAACAGGCAGCAGCCGGCCAAAATGGTGCGTAGGTTCAGAGTCTAGCTTGAGTCTTCAAAACCTACTTTTTTGTAGGGTCCCTATGAAATCCATATTAGGGCTTACAATAAGAACCTACAAGAAAGTAATGCTTGGTAGTTTAATGTAGACTGCAAAGCTCGGATCCAAAGCCGAAACGCTCCAGCCTGCTTTCACTTTCCCAGAGCCTCCAAAACCCCTTGATTGAGGAATACACCTTTAAATCATATTAGGGATCCTAATATTTTCTAAGGTGTATTCCTTAATTTAGGGATACTGCAGTCTCTGGGGTACACCAAGCCCATGCGGCCTGCGCGTCTCACACAAGCTTTAGGCTTCTCAAATCCTTAGCCCTCGTTTTCCGTGTCATTTCAGGTACCGGAGATTCATCAGTTCTTGTGGTGCCACCAGGGCACCCTGCAGGCAGTGCTGCGGCAACTTGCGGCCGTCCCAACTCAGCTCAGAAATCTCGAAGGTTTCATGGCCTCTATGAGCCTTGACACGTTTGGCAAAGGCCTACGGTGTAAATCGTTGCCGGATCTTGGTTCTGAAAAGGTTTGTGGCAGGGTTGCCGCGTTTTGAAGTTCTGGCACCTGGGATTGTTGAGGAGTTTTGGCAGGGTGCAGGGGCCCGGAGGATGTGGCGGAGCCTTTAGGGACTTGTGGGGTTCTTTTGTTTCGGTGAGATTTTCAGGGTGGCAGTCAGGCTGGTGAGCACGCAGTGGGTACTTAGATTCCTGCCATTGCGAGTCGCATCTAAACCCCTAAGGATCGGGCAGGAGCGGCACTTGGTGACGTCAGACATGACGAAGTTGATGCACCTGGTCACAGATCACGCCTGTTCCGCATTGCATCCTTGTGCCGAAACTCTAGATACCACCAACGCGGGCTGGCTCCCCAATGCCCGGCGTGTGCTTGCAGCAGCACGAAGCGCCCTGGATTGCGCCCCACAGCACTCCGCAACACAGCCTGTCAGCGTGAGTGCCTTGAGCATCATGGTGGAAGTCAGCCAACGGCTTGAAACGGATGTGACCGAATTCTGGCGATCGGTGATGTTGGAAGCACCAATCAAGCGTCCAGTGGCGTTGCAGCAACTTGTCGAGCGCTTGTTGCAGGGTGCCCAAGCCCACATGGACCAGAGCAGTCTGCAGCATCTGCAGCTCTCCACCTACCAGCAGCTTATTCCCCATGGTGTTCCTGGGCTCTTGTTCAGGAATGTAATTTAAGTTACCGTAATAAGGAAGCCCCAGTATTTACTGTAGGTCCCTATTATAATAGATTGAGTACAGTTCCCAAACAAGAACCCAGGTTTCAGACGCCATCGTCAGCAGCCTCACTAGTGGGGTGCCCGTCGTTGCGTCGGCGCTTCAGCTGCGCAGCTTGGTCCGTGGAGCCTGCCAGGAGAACTCCAGGTGCTTACTGGAGGCCTTGAGGTGCTTTGGATTGAACAAGCCTTGTCGCAAACCTTATTTTGAACCCTAAGCCCTCATGCACCTTAAGGTGCTTGGGATCACAAAGGTTGTCAGCCAACTCAGGACGCAGGGGATACTGTATGACGACATATTCCTGAGCCAACTTAGGATGCAGCCTGCAATCCCTAAGCACCTTCAAGTCTGAGGTCTGCCAGTGCTGCGAGCGACGTGGCAGCAAACCCAGCTTCAGCCGTCGAACGATCCAGGAATCCAGGGTTTCACCAAAGCCGGAATCCTGTAGACAAGCCCAAACCCGAAAGCACAATTCTGTCACCGAAGACGCCAAGCCCAGCAAAGCCTGTAATTAAACCCCATGTGCGGATGCCAATTTCCGAAGCACCCTCGGTAAAACGCACCTGGCTCTTCCGCTATAACGACGACGACCACCACCACCAGTACCTTGCAGACAGCTGACGGGTCATAGCGCTACTGCTAGTGCTCCTGCTGCTCCACTTAATATTGTTCACTACGAGGCCGCAGCGCACCGAGCACAGCGCTGCGAACACTGCGGGAACTCGCCCGCTCTGCCGGCCCAGCAGGCTGTGAAGCAACAAGGTTTCGGGTTCAGGGATTCTCTAAGGCAGCTTTTTCGGGGTCTTTTCTTCAAGGGGCTATGCACACATTATCTCTATACAGGTTTAGGCTGACACAAACTGGATGGGAGTATGTCGCCCGTCCGCCGTGGTTGCACCCCGACATAAACCGAGCACAGTCGAGAAAAGCCTTCAGGCCTTCGCGATTCGGGCCCGCAGTTTCAGGTTACGGAACCCACAGTACTTTGAGGATCATAGGACTTAGTTAGTAGGGTTATAAGTATCTTAGTTATAAGTAGATAGAACTATAGATACCTTACTTATAACCCTAGCTACTAAGTCCCCTGATCCTCCAAGTAGAACATGAGTCCTGATCGGACCAGAGATTTGAAACTGACTACCAGGGGCCCGAAGTAGTCTCGAGGGAAGCAGCAGAATCCTACGTTGGGTGCTTGTTTTTATCCCGAATCAGGTCCCTTGAATGCCGTGCTCTGCATCGAGATCGAGGAGTTTGGTCTTCCCTGGCTGCACCAGGACTCCTGGGCTTTGGAGTACCATACTTTAATACTATTTTTCTTAATGGAACCATTATGAAACACAAGTTTTATACTTTTTTTCTCCCTGGTTACTTAAAAGCCCAGACTTCTTGCCAGCAATTTGGGGGGGGTCTTCGGGCCGAGGCTGTCGTCCGTCGTTCTTGCCTTGGACCGCTTGTGTTCGAGAGATTTGGGAGTTTCCGAAAATAGGGGACCGTAATATAGTACCCCAAATAGTAGGATCCCTATTATAAGGACCCCCAAAATAAGGTAGCCCTTATTTCCGGAAACTCCCATTTAGGATTTTCAATCAGAAGGATCCTGAAATGTTCGGAAACCCCCGTCCGAAGCTTCGAGGTTCAAGGCTGAACGGTAACAGTTTGGTGGTTTTCCGACTCTCCTGAAGGGGCCCTGGTGTAAATGGCCAGAGGGACTGCGGCACACATGAAGTGCGGTGTCTTTCTATGTCATCTCGTGTTCAGCCAGTCTTTCCTGCCATCTTCTATCAGATCAGGTTTAAATAGCACATGAGGACATATGAGGGCCGTTGTCTGAGGATCCCAGCAAAGCCCGAGTGGCGCCGTAAACTTTGCGACATGCAAGCTTCACCCGTACCATGGCCCATACAAAGCCTCAGTCTTCACTAGAAGCCCCTTCCAATCTGACCCTAATGACCCACAGAGCCACTGCAGCTGATGATCATGCTGCCTTCTCCATCAAGAAGGAAGGTACAGACACGAGACACAGAGCTTCAATCAGACGAGTCTTCTGTCCAAGGCTTCAGAAATCGAAAACCTACATAAACCCAAGACTTGAGAGAACCCGGAACCCGTGAATGCCAAAGCGTTCGATCTCCTTCAGGATGCAGCCAACAGCGGTGGTGAGGTGGTGGGGTTGGCGACCGCCGCACCCCTCGCTGCGGAGATTTTGCAAACCGTTGAGACGCTCGGCTTCCGTGGCAGACTGCAGGGGCGCCCCGAAGCAATTTGTAGCAAGGCGGCGCTTGCGGCCCGTGTGCTAGCTTGCAAAGAACTATCTCCACGGAGCCTAGCGTGAAGCTATGCAGCAACGAACGACCTCAACTGGATAAGACTGGACTTACATGTACGCGAGCATGCACCTGGTGTAAGACTGCGAATATTGAAAGCACATGTCACGGCGCGGCTTCGGGTGTGAAAGCTTGGATTTGAAAGACTGAGGCTCGGAGGAAGCAAGGAAGCAAGGCTCCGTGTAGACCAGCAATTGAGTCGATGATATGCCTCCGAAATGCCCAGGACATCGAGTTTCGGTTTGCAGCACGTGGTCGCAGCTGCCGTGCTGCGTGCAGCGGCAGTGCAGGCGGCCTCGTTCCTCTCCAGCGAGCCCGGGCAACAGACTTTATCGTTTTATGGCGGTGTGCAATACTTCGTAAACAAGAGTCGGAATATTCCATGAATGAGAAAGCCAAAACGAATTTGCTTTGAGGTGTAGTTTCAATCGGGTGGTACGGGCTCTCTCTGGCTACTCATCTAAGCAGCCGGGCGAACTTTGCGTTTCTTAAGCTTCTACATCTGATCCACATCGGGAAAAGTCTGAACCTTTTATCAGGTGTAGGCGTAGGTGTTTGGGGGAGCTTTCACAAAGCCGGTGCCTTGGAAGCAGCAAGGCTCAATGCCTTACATGGTGAACCCACAAGAGTACTTAGAGGATCATGGGACTTAGTAAGCAGGGTCATAAGTACCGTAATTAGGGTTATAAGTAGATAGAACTATAGTTACCTGACTTAAAACCCTACTTACTAAATCCCATGATCCCCGGAATAAGCAGTCCCACGAGGAAAATCCATCTCAAAGATGTGGAGGTCTGAAACATTAGTACGAAAAACCCTCTTGCCGTGCCCGTAGACGTATACTCTAATGTGCTTGCGAGCCGTACTTTCCAAAGGTCTGCCGAGAGTCAAAACCCCCCACTCGGGCCCCGAAACCTGAACCTGCAACCTTCAGGACGACAATATATTGTAAGAACGCTATAAAATACTATAGATAAACCATAATATACTATACTTGACTATGATACAATCATAGTGAATATAAAGATACCATACATCGAAATCCCAAGCTTGCGAGTGCGAAAGAGCTGAGGAGAGCCCAGTGGCCTGGGATGGCTTGCACCGCGCGTTGGCCCGACTCTGTGCTGCAGGTGCAGTCCTGAGCAGTTGAGAGTTTCCCAGGGAGTTTGGGTTCAGGGTGTAGGGTTTCAGCATATTGTTCGGGTTTCTGCATATTTTTGCTTGGGGTTTCGGGGTTAGGGGGTTACTAATGTTCATCGGCTTTGCTTTGTTTTGTGTATAAGGGCGCTTCGGTTCGGAGTTGTTGCGCACCGATATGCTTTTGTAGAGTTCGGAGAAGCTGCTGAGATGTACAGATCCCGAAGGCTGCTACATGATTGTAACTGGCTGTGCATAGATTTCGGAAAACGAGGACATCACTCGTATCAGAAGAACCCCAAAAGGGGACCTGAATTGAGAACTTCTACGGTTGATGATATAAATCCTGCATTGCCTTAAGGAACCTAAGCTATGGGAGTTATTGTATATTCCTTATTATGGGTAATGCAGGGCCTAAATCATCAACCGTACGATTACCAGCAAAAATGGCAGCGGTGACTCTGTGAGGTTCTGCCCCTGGGCCCCAGCGAGCACTGGGCACCTGCCTGCGGAATTCTGTCCTCCGCGAGGCGGCAATCCCTTGTAGTATATAAGGTCTATATAACAGCTACTTTGCAGCTTTATTATAACATATTATGGGGTGGTTGTGGGGTTTCTAAAGCTGGGGTGCTGATATTGCGGATGTTACCAGCAAGACTCGATGTTCAGATTGGGGTCCTTGGTTCCCCGAAGCTACCGTTCGTTGGAGTCACATCAGCAAGATTCTTCCGAATTCAAGAAATACACGCAGGAGGCACTGTAAACTTTCAGGATAACACATTCAAGGAAGTCGGAAGAGAGATCGGTATGGAGGGCCCAAGCCTTTGTAACTTTTGAGGGGTTCCCTAAGGCAAAGGAGTCAGGTTTGACAGTCTTGAGGATGCTAGGGTGGAGCTTGGTCCTTCTGACCAGCAGAGTCTGGGACCCGTCAGAACCGCGATGCATGGATCTGCTAGGAGAACGGTCAGGCTGTGCAATTTATCTGTGGAAGCTGGAAGCTCGCAGTGACGACTTCTGAGACATCCAGTCTTTCTAGAATTAGGGGTGTCGGATTCGGTTCAACTTTCATAACCTTTCACCTTTCATCTCTTCCATGCAGTTCGCTTTTTGGAGGTGCATGCCCGCAGCGGAAACGTGGCAACGACCGTGGAGCTTTGCAGCCCACTGCCGTGGTTGAAGGAGGCCTTGCCAGTTCCAGGCCGGGGACCCTGATCTGAGCTTTGGTTTTGGGGTTTGGGACTTTTGTTTCAGGGTTTGGGGTTTAGGGTTTTGGGGTTTAGGGTTTAGGGTTTTGGGGTTTGGGGTTAGGGTGAGTTTTTGTTGGCACCCTGAGCGGGCAAGGGAGAGCGGGTTGAAAGCGCGAGGCAGGTACTATAGTGGCCTTCATAATTACCTATACTATTTTGTGGGGTTCCTTATTATGATTATGGAATAAGGAGCCCCAGAACCTTATTCTAATTATTAATGCTTATTAAGGCCCCAAAATTGGGAGAATGAGGG